GACACACATACTAACATACATCCAACACACGACTCAGGGAAAGTTTACCAACGTGTCCCTGCGGCGCGGAGACTACACACTTCATGTACGTCACTGTTGACATACTTCAACACCCCATACAACTCATTATATATCATTCAATAAATATAGATCGTCTCCAACACTAATTATATATGTACAATCAAAGTTAAACATTTCTCAATGAAATATAATAAATTTCATTTCAATTACAATACATTATACAGCGATGGATTTTCAATAGCCGGCAAACTAATCTCAGTGTAAAAGTTAGTCGAGCTCACCGGCCGCGGCAGACTAGACGGGACGCTTCGGAAGGATTTGTTTTATACGGCGTTTTGTTGAGGAACTCATAACTAAATGAATGAAACCAACTATATATATAGCAGTACTGACAGACATACTTTATATATTGAACTGGGAGTGAGTCGTCATCACAGACGTGTGTACTGGGATATATAAACATCTTATATATGTGATCGACAGCGATCACATCGTAACTAATATTCATGAACTTTGATTGATTCACTCTAACATTTTATCATACATACAGATACATATATAATAGTTAAATAAATATACATCTATCATCAAAATAATATATGAAATAGTTGTCCATATTTACATTTCATACGAATTCAAAATACCAATTTACCGTCGAATAACAGATACATGTTATTCAAATGTACGCGGTAACGAGGGTAGCTGATGAGGAACAGCAACTGGTGGGAGGTGATGGTTGGTGTGATGGAGACAGAACCTGTTGAACGTGTTCAGATAAGACATGCAGGTCTTGAAGGAGAGAGGGAGGAAAATATAATGAGAAATAATTTATAAAGAAACACAGAGTGATTGAGAGTTGAGTTGCTAGGCTCGTTATTTTACATCTGAACATATACAAAGTGGGCCAATCTATACGCCACTTTTAACAAAAATACTCTTCTAAGAAGTTAATCAAGCTGTTTAACTTTTGATACTCAATTCACGTTTCTTGCATATTATACGTCATAGATTTTAGACACATCACTTAACTGTATTCAACAATAGGAAACAAACATAATAGAGAGACGTACGAAATGCACATCCACGAGTGGACTAGCTACGAGCGTGCCCCGTATGGTGAGGGAGATTGTACCGTGTGGGGCGGAGAATGGTCATAGTCGAACAAAAACACGAAATAATTGGCAGCGGGATTAAAAATCGATTCAGAATGAAAGCGGGAGCGAACGAAGGCACGCCGCGATCCCTATTGGATTGAAACTACAAATAAAACATTGAATATAAACATTACGGCTCATGTGGTTGGATAATTAATTAATATTTAATTGTTCCCTGGCGTTACATCATTAACAGCCCTTCAACATATTTCCGTAGAGGTAAGTCGGGAGCTTACGTTCGACGGGCCAGGGCGTCCGACCGAGACACTTGTTACTTGTCATTGTGTTTGAATACCAATGAAAATAATTAACAATAGGAGTCTTTAAGGACCTTCATTGATTTCGATATACCGCAATTAGGAAGGCGATTGTTGGGTCTTTTAGCCCTCAAATAATAAACAGTCGTTTTAAATGAGAGGTAGTCGATAACGAATCAGTGCAAACGACTCTCACGTCAATTATTCGCATATAGAGAACGCTGTTTATTAATATAACGAGCTGTAACTTTATTGCAACTATTAATAACAAGACGGCAATAAAAATGAGTGGAACTTTGTTAGGTTAATATTATTTTGTCTGCTATAAAATATTGTAATAAATAGAATTTTCCAAGACGTAACTAGATCGAGTCCACGTTCCCTTCTGTAGCGACACTAACGGTAGATGTTTCCGGAGACATCGTTCCTGTTCTATATTACTCATTCAAACAATAGTTATAGGTTTGTTTAATCATATTAGAGCCTTACTAAAAGCATTACTTGGACTTTTATTCAAAACAATTTATTATCTCAGTCAGTTTGATTAGTTTTTTCCTCTCAACTTTAGTTCAACTAATAATTTGATATAGAGTCTGACTTCTCGATTCGATCTCACATCTCGGGGAAAGTTCTCAAACACAAACACAAGGAAGGTTGTAGGAGCGAGTGACGTGTGAATGTTAACAGGTGGAGCAACAATTAGCACACAAATGATAACCATAGGAATATTAGAATTAATTTGTTGCATTAATGAGACAGTGGGACCTTTAATTGTATTGTCGATAACATTTTGCTATGAAAGGAATACTGAATAGTACAAATGGCATTCGCTATCGAAACTGTTGCTCGTACAGACGAGTCTTCACAAGCTTAGCTCGAAATTTCCTACACTGATAGTGACAGCCGTTGGCAGGGAAGCATGCGTTGAAATAAGAATTGAAAAGTATTAGAATATTCTGCTTGAAGGTTTGCGAAGGAGAGTGCTAGAGTAGGTATTAGGTCAAGAACATATATGCATTTTATTGTAAAGTTTTTTTAAAGATCTTCAATTACATTCGCCGCATAGCTTTTATTCTAAAGAGATTATTTTCTGAGCATTTATAAAATTATTCTTCTAATTAGCATTATAAGGATAATTGTTGTTAGATCATTAAAGACGATGCAGACGATGGTTGCAAATTAACGACTTTTTATGATACGCCAATTACTGAAGAAAAAATATACGATATTACTCGGAACTAATTTGAAAGAACAAAAAACAAGAATTATATTTAAGAATGGAGATGTTGTTTTTAGTTCGGCCCTTTGTAGATGTAAACTTGCTCGTTTTCCAATAAAATATTCCATTTTATTTAATTCATTTCCCTCGGACATTCCGCTTAACAGTAACAAGATAAGTGAGATTCTTACTCCTGACAATGAATCAGACTTTCAGCTTAGGATTCGTTTAGACGATACGCTTACTGTTAGATCAAACTCAAGAATCCTTACAGACGTAGCCGAACACAGCTGACCTCTTTATATAAAGTGGATCGTCTTTAATAAGCTTTATAAGACCAATCAAAGAAAGTTACGTGAATTGTTTAATATTTAACATTCGGATAGAGTTGAGAAATAAATGTTTTAAATAAAATATATAGTCCATTTAATTGATAAATAATTATTTAGCAAAATTTTCGTTTATGTTGACAAAAGGAACCGCTTCTCGCTTTATTATCATGTCTGGAGCGTCAAATATTTTAATAAAGGTATTCTTGAAGTTCCTCCGAGGTCCGTTCATAACAGATTAAACGTTCCTATACTGGTGACCATCCCTCCCACGCCCCTAACCTCGTACAGGTCACTCTGACTCATGACAAACGTATTACACCGGTGGCTATTACCATTACTACATACCCACGAACTATCGACTATATTTGAAACTGAACAAAAAACAGAAATGCATAAAACACTACGCTAAACCTCTGTTTGATCGATAGCTTCGAAAAGGACATGATCTGTTCAAAGATAAATTTAACATATTTTCTAGTGCGATTCAGAGAAATAGCAAGCAACGCTTTGATCTATGAAATATAGTTTTTAAAAAGGTTCGAAAAGACTTAGCGGCGGTTCATTCTCTCTATAACTTTCAATGTACTGGCAAAACGTTCAAAACTGTATGATCTGAATAACGAAATGAACGTGGCGTTGAAAACATACACAAACTACAATCGGATAACAATCAAATTTAATAAAAGCTATCGAGAGAGATCACGAGCTAAGTTTTATACATTTTAGACGATTGGTGGTTGTTAGGATTACGTTAACGAACTAGGAGGTATTCATGAATGTAACGATAAACAACGATCACGCAAATATATTAAGAAATTAATAGTAATATTATATTTATAAGTCGAGATGGCCTTGCGGTTAAAGTCCCGCCTCTCGTGCATGAGGGCGCGGGTTCGAAACCTGCTAAGTACCAATGTGATTTGTCCGAGTGTTATGTACTATCTAAGAGTATTTAGACATCACTGACAGACGGTGAAGGAAAACATCTTGAGGAATACTGGATTTATAATTCCCAATTCTAAGTTTAAAATCGCCAAACCGTCTTGAGCGAGCGTGATGATTAATGCTCAAACCTTCTCCATGTGAGAAGAGGCCTTTGCTCAGCAGTGGACTCTGATAGGCTGACGAATATTATTATTATAATAGTACTAAGCTATTCTCGTTGTTATCGATCGTATGCAAGTCATGTTTTTTTTAATTCTTTTTCGTTTTCCAACATAACTGTATGCTGAAGCTTGTGTTTCTGTATATGAGGGTAGGGATATTAGGTAGAGAGGCAAGTTGTCAAACAGCCCACTTGTTAAATGATTTAGTGACAATTAATAGTATGACATAAAGATTATTAATAAACGACATTATACAAAGAATCTATTTTCAACGTAACAAACACAATGTAATCCTGCAGGAAGGCCATCACCATAAACTACAATATAAGTAAATTCAAATCTGATTCTCGTCTTAATATATTGATATTATTTCAGTGTAAAGTTAAACAAACAGTCAGTTTTCACTAAGTACTCCCTACGGCGCGGCCTCCGCCTACCGGGCGCCGGTCGAGTATCAAATCTCACCTATTAATTGAACACTTCATTTAAACATACCTAATCATAGATTTCCCGTTAAACATTATTATCAATTTATATTGAAGGAACTTATATATGTATTGATTAGTGAGCTGATGTCACAGGTGGGGCCGGTGCGGTGCGGTGTCTCATAATAGAGTCTAATGTGTTCTGGTAATCAATTTCTCTCATCAAAGCCCTGACCGGAGCTCGCCCGCTTCCTCATAACCGAATAATCTCTGTACTAAGAGCAGCATCGTAATGTGTTTAATACACATCCTCTCAAACGGATGTGCCTTCATTACTAGCTGACATCGACAATAAGTGCACGGCCAGCTGACGTACGGACACATTATATATAAACCAATATAACATAAGCTTGACTTTATACCTGGAGACTGAACTCTGTCACTTACCTGCCTTCAACTGGAACACGGCGCCTGGATCGTACTTACTTGGTTTGGGATGTATGGGTGAGAGGGTGTAGTAGTAGCAGTAGACGATGAAGGCGACCACCAGCAGCAGCAGCAGCAGCACCCGCGGGGAACACTTGCGGCAGCGAAGGAACCGCAGCGAGCGCATCGTGACCACTGACACACACACAAACACCATCAATTATATGACTAGACTTAAACAGTACGAGGTTTTAATGAAGTGCGCTTATTTACAACTTTAGAAAATCCTTATAAGGAATTATAATTGTTTTGTTATGTATAGTAAGTTATCTGATATGATCTCCAGACGGCTCGAAGCCGGCTCCTGTGTAGAGTTAAGAATGTTAAAGAGAGTCCCCTAAAAGCGACACAGTCGACGTCATCTTTACGGCATTTTTGATCGGCGTCCCTTCAAAGGGGAAGCTATTTTAACGTTGAATGTTATTTTAGGATTATAAAAACATCTGTTAGGAAGTTTGGCGGACGTTGAAATAACAGATTGATACCCGAACGATATCCACGTGAAGGTAAATGAACCCCCAAAATATAAAGGAGACAGCAGCTGATGAAATGTTATATGACTTACGAAACTGATAAGAATTACCCAAAATACTTCAAATATATAATAAAGTAAGTGACGATATGTCGGGGAAACCCAGTAGTTTAGATAATTGTCTTCATACATACTTATTAAGTGTAAAAAATAACTCGAGAAGTACGTGTCCATAAAAAAGATGTGAAAAACCTAATTACCAAAACTATGTTCCTGTTTCAAAAATATATATTTTGTTTTAATTATAATTTTGTTATTTAAGGAATTAATCTTTATTGCTCACAAAAAATAACTCAAATTGATCTTCCAATAAATATATTTATTGTCAATATTATTAAAAAATTATAGAAAACTTTCATTTCAAACTATTAAATAACTTTTCATTCATAAAACTATTTTCATATGTACTTTAAACTTTTGTAAATTTAAATAAAACTCTTAAAAAACTCGTTTTCCTCAAAGTTAATAAAATAACACTGTCTGTTAGTTTTTTTTCTAAAACAATATTATTTGTGTACATTCAACCACGCGGAGTCATCTCAACTTTACAAAACTATTAAAGTTTTAGAAATACATTAACTCATCATAAATAAAACTTTTTTGAACCTTCTTATTATTCAACTTTTAATTATGAATAAGAAAAACATTTCGGAAAACAAAAAAAATACTTGTCCAAAGTGTTCTTCAAAAGTTGTTAGAATGTAAACAAACGCTGCAGAAAAGCTTACAATAAGATATACTTACGTTTAATTTTAATTCCAAGCTACTTGGGCAATTTCTAGCATTTTATAATTAAATGTATATTAAATGCACGTTAATATTAATTTCGATAAATTAAACTCCGCAGCTTCGCAGAAGACAGCGTTACCTGAGGAAAGCAAACTAGACAATGTTCAGCACACTACCGATTGGTGGGATGACAGTTTAGGGATGCCATACTCCGAAATACACGGCTACTAGAACCTACCAAAATTAATTTTGTCGGGCTCTGAAAAAGGATTATAACAGACTTAAAAAAAATCTGCATTTAATGTATTTAAAAGAATTCTTCACTTAAGCTGATTCCATAGAAGTATAGTAATATTCTAGATAAGACTGGCAACGTTTCTTCGAGGTGCGTTCGAAATGTAAAATACTTTTAAATTTTCATGTGTAATCTAAGTAAGAGAAAAACAAATTATATTTCATTAGCTTAAGAATTTATTATTAATCTTTTTTAGTATTATTTATTAAAAAATTTACAAAATAGTTCATGTAATGATTATTCGAGTTGCAAACATTTAAAAATATTTAAACGGGATTTGATTTTAAAACACAACTCATGTGCAGCTTGGTTTTGATGTCTATTATAAAGAAAACACTAAATTATGCTCAACAATTATTAAAAAATGAACGAAATAGAATCCTTTATGAAACATGATTACTATTAAGGTAAAGTGTGTTACAGTGATTGTTTTTGGTAGTTTTTATTTGATGAAATAATGAAAAAATATATAATGGTAGTTTCGATTTCAAAACTTAGACATAAAGTTTTGAAATTAGTTTAAAACTTTTTTGAAGTTTAGTTTGTTTTTATTAACTCTGTATATATTCCACTGCAAGTGATCAAAAGGAAAGAAATTAAGATTGAACTTTTTAAATTGATAAATTAAATTACGATCAAAATATATTCCGTATCATTACTAAAGTATAATTATATTCCGTTGTCATAAACATACAGTTCGTATGTATCTGCCGCCAGTATAATGTTACTGTTGAATCTGGCGAATCATCAGTGAAGGTGACCCTGACAATAATGATGATGCATCTATTAGCATGGACCTCTATCCATACAATGTTACATGATTTCATGAAATTGACCTTGTGCATGTCTTACAATTGATGTTACATTAATGTTGACATGTATACAACATAGAAAATTAATTATTTACAATGGCTTTAGGTTTACATGTGTTTAGTTTATGATGGTAGCCGAGGTTGAAGCGGTCATTGAATTATAATTTATAGTATGAATATACAGCAGTACACACAGACAACATCCCAGACACACACACACACACACACACATATATATATATATATATGTTATAAAATAATACTGTTTATGTTAATGTTCAGAAACATTTAATGAAGCGTTTAAGATTCAGGACTTATTTTAGAATTGAAATATTAAAAAATATACATTCAGTCTCATTTAATTATAATATTTATATTTAAGGAATAAGAAATATTAACATGGTTTTAAACTGTTGTTTACATCATCGGATAGTGTGTTACAATATCATTAGTTAAATAAATCATGTGAACTTATTTAATTCATACTGCTTTATATGAAAAAATAATATACTTTTATAGAATTGTATCAAAGTCTAATACATAAGAATTACAATTATTTTTAAGGTTGACAGTAAAATGATATTTTTGATGTGATTCTACATAAGCAGTTGGTTGTTTTATTGTACAGTTTTGTATCCAAGCTAGCGGTAACTTCCTTATAATACAACAATATAATTTAATCAAACTACACACAGTTGACATCATATTATTATGAAAAAATTTGCAAATTTACTGTCTAGAACACAAAAGTATAAGATTGTAAAACAGACTTGACTTAGTACTAAGTGAAACAATATCCATATTGTTGTATGTGGAATGTTATTACTTCATGTTGGCAAAATTCAAAACCAAAATTGGAATAATAAATCTTCCTCATTAATCAGAAACAGAAAAAGAAAAGTAGTTCGATTAAATAAAATACAGTTGTTTTTTAAATTTAGTTGACAAGTATCACTCTAGATGGCGTAAGTGACACTTCGTAAATTTAAATTTGATATATTAAATATTCCACCATAGAACAATTACATATTCTATTTACTTGATATATAAAGAGAGATTTGTAGTCCCAAATTTCTATAGGCCTCCATGATGTTCGTGTGTTTCGCTACAACAGTAGGTACTGTGAGTTTAATTAAAATGTTTTGATTGTGTTGTATCCTGCATTGAAGTCGCTCCTTGCTAACTGATTGCTTGCATAATAAATGTTCCTCTGTCACGGGCGACACCGCACCGGGGCTTTTATAACCAATTTCCTGAACAATCAAATAATGTAACGAACGTTTAACATGAGTGAATACAAACATTATCACGGGGATATAAGTTATAGTTATTAATAAATATGTAGTTTTAAAGTACACCTATAAACTAGCTTCATACATTCGTTGTTTTGTATATAAACAGGAATTATCTGTTCGAGAACCATAAAGATTAAATTTTCAGATTGTTATTTTTGATACATACGAACCAAAGGTCAATGATTATCGTCATTCATATTATTACTTATCTACAACTATTTGATGCAGCCCAAAAATACTTTATCAACGTAAAAACCTATATTTTTGTTTATTTTATTTTACACCGATGCTCGACAGTACATACTTATATTAAACCTTTCCTTTTCAAGCTGCATTTCGTACGATAAGTGCAATAAATTCTCGAGTCCTTATACCCATTCCAAGACCAGTTTCCTATTCTTAGGTCAGTCCCAGGACCTTTAAGCAAAAATCTATTTAGACCTACACATTGAGACGTGTTTCCGATTTAATAAAGATCTATATAAACATACATTTTGTTTTGAATTATTTTTTTATTAAATTCCTGTCAATGTCAAACCAATCCTAATATGTTGGCGCCATTTAATAAAAAGTTTAAACTTATTTTATTCTATCTAACGAATTCGCGATGTGATAATACTGTTGTTTAAGTCGCTTAGTTTTATATTATTGTAGTATATCTGCTGATTGTACTACGGTCTGTGTTATTGTTAGTGTTTATTCGGTGCCATTTCGTCGCGGCGACTTGACGTCCACTCGTGGTCACTCACACTATAAATACAGTCTTATAAATAATAATAAAACATTCCGAACTAAGACAGTTACTATGAAGTACTCTCAGCTCGGCACCACTGATTTAAAGGTGTCGCACATTGCTCTCGGTGGAGCTGCGTTTAGCAATATATACGGGTACGTACAGTGTTTTGAACTACATATACATATAAGAGTGTAAATTTGATGATTTAAATAACTGGTTATCATAAAGCCGTGTTATTCGGTGTCCCAAATGTCTTTAATCACTTATGTGACAGCCATCAGCTATGTTAAAACGTTCATTGTTATTATTACCATCGTCTTGTTATAAATGTCACTCACTACACGTACGTGTCCTTGTACGAGTGGCATATCAATAATCAACTTGCAATCGGTCAAGCGGCTTCGTTATAAATCAAAACAATACGGAGTTAATGAAGTGCTCATAGAAAACGTTGGTTGTGAAGTGAAAATATGAATGATGTTGTTATAGTTGTAAACTAATAGAATATTTCTATCGTTGTATTTTGGTCGTCAATTATCGGAACTTGTTCAGTTTGTTTTTCCTAGCATTGAATGTTACATACTCAACATAAATAATCAAATCTCAATAGACCACTTTATAGACTATTTATTTACTAATATATATTTTTTTCTATTTTGTCATTGTATTGGTAATAACTGAATTACTAAACTCACATTTCACAAGACATTTAAAAAGCCGAATTTAAATAATTTATATTAATTTGTGTGATAATTATCTAAAGCTATACCGGTCACTGCCTTCGTAGGTATACACGTTAGAGTTTGTTCTAGAAAATACGACGAAAGCCGTGGAATAGAACTGGTGAAGGAAACTCTGAAACGTGGCATCAACTACGTGGAGACGGGACCCTGGTACGGCCAGGGCAGTTCAGAGAGGACTATTGGAAAAGTATGCTTCATACACTGAGTTTACGAATAATTAACTTGAGTTTGAATATTGAGAAAGGAACATTCATATATCTCTTTATCAGATTATTATTTAATTTTATGATAAAGTTCGACTGCCTGTGAACAAACACGCCTTTAAGATAAATTGAAAATAATACCACTTATAGCGTTTACGTCACTGATAATTTTACCGACTCGAATCCTTCGCCCAATTTACGGTTACAGTTTTTTTTTTGTTCATTAATTGTCAAATATGGCAGTATGAGTACGAACGTAGGAATATGTGTGACAACTGGTAGCTATATGTATTTAAAGAAGACAACATATACATAGCTCTACTTTTAAAATATAACTAGAATTTGTAATTATATATTGAAATGACTTTTTTATCGTTTAGGCTCTCAAAGACGTGCCCAGGAGCAGTTTTTTCATAGGAAGTAAAGTAGGCCGGTATGAGAAGGAAACGGAGAGAATGTTTGACTTCTCCGCGGAGAAGACGGAGGCTGGAGTGACCAGCACTCTACAGAGACTGGGGCTTGAGTACGTGGACTTGATACAGGTCGGTACTAACACACACGTCACAGGACAAACCTACGTAGTTGATATAATAATTATATGTTGTTCAAAGGATAAGTGTATTAAGACAGATTTACGATTCCGAGGCGATAAAGAAGCGATGTAAAGTGGAACTTAGTAGTGGCATCTCTTGGGAGATCAGGATGTATGTATCTCGCGTTTAAATACGTGTGGTATAGACCAGTGAGGACGGATAGAATTTGTTTTAATTAACTACTGGATGCTGTTCAAACATCAGCTCATGTCTAGATGTAGAGTATACATACAGTATGTGTGGGTGTGTGTGTCATACACATACACATCAACAGTGGTAATATATGTGATAGATCGCTACCTTGAAGCTCCAGGGAGCACGCTGCACGCCGCATGTAGCTCGTACAACACAAACATCTTGAATGATATATAAGGTGCTCATCAAATAGAACGTTCCACATACATACATCATGAAGCTTTAATATACAATTAATAATGATGTTTATTGATTTATTGTCTAAGTATATAGTATTATAAACTGTAGAGTGTACAGTACATGACACATATAGTACCTCTCGTATTAAGACTAACGACGATAACTCTTGGTATACTTAGATGAACCTCACACATAGTGTGCGAGGTGATTCCCGTTAGTAGTAGAAATTATATAAACATTAATTATATAAATAAAGCATTAATGATAATTCATAGTATTTAAAGTGAGGCGTGTCATCAAAAATGATAAGTATAGTAAACCAATCTTTAATTATTTTTCTGATTTGTAGATATATTATGTATATAGTGTTTTTGATTTTTTATATACGCAAATAATGTTATACCAGCAAAAGAATAATGTAATAATTAGAAAATACCTCACAGATAACATCGACACTAAATAAACTGTGTTAAAATTTATAAAAATAATAACATAATTACTACACGAGCATATAAAGAGACTCAGGCTACTGACCGTATGCTATCAGTTTGGATGATTCTGAGAGAAAAATAATAAAATATTTAAAGAAATGATTAAGAGAACTTCACTATATTGAAGGCTTGTTGAAAATAATGAACTTTTCAATATTGAGAATTTAATTTATATTCTACACGCCGCGCCGTGAGTGTACACGTCACTAGTAGTGGCTGTCTGACACAGATATGAGATAAAATACACCGAATGATTTACACAGAAAACAATTGATAGTAGGGGAGAGAGAATACTAAGTTATAAAATTATATTTAGAGAGTTACATTATACATAGATAGGAAAAAAATAGGCAGTATATGTTAGAGTTTACCAAAAAATTATTAAGGTAGAACGAAAAAATGTAATCCTCGTACAGTAACGAAAATGAATATCGAGATTAAACAATTAAATTCAATGATTGACACACGGGACTCTATAAGAAACTTTTAGAAACAAAACGTGCTCCGATCATTAAGTATAAGACTTCTTATCTTTTTTTTTGAAAAACCAAAAATCCAACCTAGCGATAAAATAACTACACACCATAGTAGATTTGAAGACGATTGACAAATTAAATTGATTATTAACTAACGTTCAGTTAATTTTATTATTAAATCAAAACCAGAAATCCTTTTCATACGTGCTTTATAATAATTAATACGAAGCCAAATTACTTACGTTATAGTAAATGTCTATTCTGTTTTTTATACAGGGTGACTGGTGAATTACTATCAATATTTAAGGAGCATACTCTGTACATGATTCTCATTCGAATTATGTAAAAAAAATAGGTACTTAATTTTTGACCAAATTTCCGTATAAATAAATAAAGTGTGTACACGTTCCAAGTGTGGACGCGTGCGGCGGCGTGCTGATACAACAACACGCCGCCGCCGCGTCTGTGTGTGTGTGTGTGTATGCCTAATCTGTAGGGTGTTCACACGATGCGTAATAAATTACATAACTTTTGGTTAACATTACTTAGAAGTTTATTAATATTTATTTTATATTAATTTTTAAATATCGATATATCGAATATCGATAGTAATTCACCAGTCACCCTGTATAGTTCTCTTTAGATGAATTTCCAAGAAGCTTCATGTGTGTGTGTGTGTGTGTGTGTGTGTGTGTAGGTCCACGACGCGACCTTCGCCCCGGATCTGTCCATCGTGTTAAAGGAGACCCTGCCGACCCTGGCGCGCGTGGTGAGTGAGGGTCGCGCGAGGTACATCGGGCTCGCGGACTACGACCTGGACCTCATGCAGGAGATAGTCGAGGAGTCTCCGGTACACATCTCCAGCGTCTGTTCGTACGCCAAGTCCACGCTGTTCGACAACCGGCTGCAGAACTACATCGGATACTTCAAGGTCACGATCATTCAACACAACAACCTTTCCCTTTTCCTGTCCTTTCCTTTCTCCCCTTTTACTTTTTCTATTCCCAATTAAATGCGCAACACATGCGCGACATAAGAAATGTTGTGAATGTCTATAGTCGACGGTACTACCTCCATCAGGTGGCCCGTCTGCTCGGTAGCACCTTTTCCCATAAAACACACAATAACACCTAATGATATCTATGAGTGTTTGAATATTTCACAGCGGCTTGTGTACATTGAATTCAAGTCTTAATTCGTTCTCCTCTACCCAGTACCCAGTACCCGGTACCCGGTGTAGACGTGAGCGGTATACTCAGCTCGGTCACGTACTGTGAACACAATCCGACATTCATTAAACTACCTTCTATTTCATTATTGCAAAGATGTCTTCACAGGCGGTATTAATATTTTCTTAACAACTATTAATTTCACATAGCTCGAACAGTGTTCTGTCCCTACTAATATTATAAATGCGAAAGTAACTCTGTCTGTCTGTCTGTATGTTACTCTTTCACGTCTAAACCACTGAATTGATTTTAATGAAGTAGGTACAGACATAGAGTTTATCTTGAAAAAGAACGTAAGATAGTTTTTATCCCAGACTTTTGAAAGGTTCTCTTGGAAACGCGATATCACCGAACTACACGCGGGCGAAGCTGCGGGCGAAAAGCTAGTATTAGTAGGGAGGTAGTCTTAAAAAAACTTTAAAACAATTTTCTGACTTCTTCCCTTTATTTGTTGAAGCTGTAATACATGTCTTACAAGTTATCAAAATTAATTAGTAAGCATAATACGTGATGTTCTTATCTGTAATAGAAATAATTTGTCGTGTCAAAAGCGACAGTAATATGTCACTCATAGTATATCAGTGTGTGTGTGTGTGTGTGTTCTATCAGATGAGTAGTGTATGTGTGTGTGTGTGTTATTAGAGTAAGGGTGTGGGTGTAATCAACGCGGCGGCCACGGGCATGGGCCTGCTGTGTAACTCGGGCCCGCAGGCCTGGCACCCAGCCAGCGACGACGTGAAGGCCTTGTGTAGGTCCGCCTCCGAGTACTGTCGGGTGAGTAACATATACTTACTATCAGAAACTCGATCGAAACTCGATCTCATTTTAATAACTCGTGTTAAAAATTTGCATTTAAATCGACTATCAATTTTGTTGTTTTAATTATGTTTCACGCTAAATGACATTACGGAGTTGTTTTTTATGGATTATTGACTTTAGGTTACACGACACTAGGTATACCATAATTGACAACAGTGACCTCCAATAATTGACATTCAAATATGTTCGTCTAAATATCGTTTTGTTTTTCAACTAATAGATATAAATTAATATTTATTTTTTTTAAATTAACTCAATTCTTGTTTATGTCAGTTTGTTAACAAGAGCACGTTAATTATTTACGTACCTTTAAACGGAGCTCGTTTTGACTAACGAACTTTATATTTTTTCCTCCTGGATGCAAGTTGTTTACTGGTAGTCCAGATAAATTAAATTGTAAGTAGATTAACTGTTGCGAGGCTCGGCGTTAACGTCGACCGGCCGTGATAATGTTATATGTGGGGAAGATAAAAAATAATCGACGAAAATCGGTTAACGTTTTGCGCAACGAATTTTGGGATTTTTTTTTTAAAGTTACATGATAAAAACATGAAAAAAAATATAGTTACAAGGATTTTAATGTTAGTTTTATTTATTCTTATTAATGTAAAATTTTTATTTGTATGTAGTATAGATAGTGGCATCTCTTGACTTTCCGTAGGTCTTTTTGAAACTCGATTAGTTTTCGTTTGGTGTAGAAGCACAAATATTACTTGTTGAGTCTACATTACTACCCAGAAAAAATTATTAATTTTTAATACCAAACGTAAACATTTTTGTAACTTTATAATTTGACACTTATAAAATTTTCGATCTGAGAATTTTGTTTATATATTTCATATAACTTTGATGGTAAGCTTAAGTTGTACTCTGTTTATGAGATCTAAGATTTTCGCGACTATATATTCAATTAAATGAAACTAAGATTTTCAACAATTGTGCTGATCACGATTGCTGAAAACTAACCGAAACGTCAGGAGTATGTAGTTTTAAATAATAAAGTGTTCGTAGTTACCCAAATATATTAGTTTGATTTGGATCAGTTTTTTAATAAATATCTCAATCGGCTGATTGTTTCAGTATTCATTTATAATAATTCTGTTGTAGCTACATACAGACACACACACACATATATACATACATACATATGAACGAGTCCATTAACTATGTGATCTCATTTTGTAATCGTAGGTAAGGGAGCGTTCAAGTATTACGTAACGCAATTTTCGAAGATTTTTGACCCCCCCTTCCCCCGTCGTAACGCACAGTAACGTTTTTCTGTAGCCCCCCCCCCCCTTCTCAAAACGTTACGTAACACTCAAATGATCAATTTCATCAAAAGACTTACAATGCAAACTATGTATTCCCCGTAAAATATCAATTATGAGGTTAGCAAACTTGGAATAACAAATAAAAATATCGACCAGACTAATACAATCTGGTCAACATAATGTAATGTATATGAAAAGAGTTGCCAGTTTGGGGGTTTTTATTAATATATTTTTTTAGAAACAATGCTACGTAACGTTTTGTAAGAGACACCCCCTCCCGCCCCTGTAACGGATCGTAACGTTTTACGAGACCCCCCCCCTCCCCCAAAATTGCGTTACGTAATACTTGAACGCTCCCTAAGTCTCACGTAATTTTATGTGCTTTTAAATAAAGCTAATTTAACAATTCACCTGTCAATAGTCTGCTTAAATATACTGAATGTTCCAATAATGTGACATAAAGAGCTTTTTTAAACACAAACCATTAAACAAACTATATTTTCTCGATTCCCCGGTCACTGATTTCGACATTTTTAAGATTCTGTAAGGAGATCGAAACGCTTACAGTCAAAAAAAATGCCTCGCTTCAAAGATTTAAGATAATTTTACGTTTTCCATTCTTATTATTCTAATAAATATTATTTGTGTAAGACAAGGCGTGTGTGAACCAACACAACAGAAAACAATAGTTTATTATAATGAGAGAATATAATGATTATTTGTTTCTATAAAATACTTCTAACAACTCGTCATTAATGGAGTTATTAAAACTATATAATCTATAGATAAATATGGACAGTAGGTACAAGCGTTATAGGGAAAATATATAATAAACTTAGATGGTTATAAAAACTATGCAATTTAAAATTGAATATACTTAGAAATTGTCTCTGTAATATTATTGAATCGTTATTATTGTTTATGATTATTGAATGTGACGGTTGGTTCTTGTATTTTTATTGGTTTTAATAGTAAATAAAATAAAACTTGTTCTTGTGTGCTATGCGAGAAACTGTACTAGCAGGTTTCTATGACTGCTACTAGATGGCGCTGATCGTTCAGTTAAGTTAGAAGCGTTGTTTCGCTGAAATGTATTATGAAGCCTTCAGATGACAGCACTCATAAAATCTTTTTGAAACCCTTTCAAGAGGAAAAAAAATGATTTTACCTTTTGTAACTGAAATTTTTTTACCAGCATAACTTTTTTCGTCACATATTAAATACAATTAAATTAGTCTAAGGTCCTCTCTAGTCCATCTTTATAAACTGCTAATTGTCGATACTACGCAATAATAATAAACAAGACAAATATTTTATATTTTAAATCGAGCGCGATTAAACCTACAGCCATTGTTTGTCAAAAAATCATCACCAGCATTTCAACTTGTCATTACCTATACATATTCAACTGTCTGGTCCAAAGCGAAGATCAGGAACAAAACCTATCCCGACTTAGTCCTAACATTGTTTTCAGTCACAGAACGTAGAGCTGGCTCGTCTGGCGACCTGGTTCACACTGAACCAGCCGGGCATAGACACCAACATCTGCGGGTTCTTCAACCTGGAACAACTGAACGACACCGTGGACGTACTGGAGAAGGGACTCACGGATCATGAGAAACGAGTGTTGGATGAGTTACAGCTAAGGTGAATTACCTCATATTGTCAACATACTTACGTACTGTTTTAACGTACCTACATTAATATGCATAGTAAAGTTTCGCTAAACAAAATATAGTAGTACAATATACTCTATGTGGTTTAATTGTTAAATAACATTGATGATATATTATGTATCCATATATGTATATTTGATTATAAGCTCGTCTTCTCATCAGGTACTTTGACAAGGTCACTCTGCACTGGGATCATGTTGAGTTACCAATATATAAATCTAGAATGGAGAAACTGAAGATGTCATAAGAATTATAAAAACAATTATTAATAAGAATCGACTCTCTTTCATTATAACACATATTATTATTACCATTTTAAAGAAAGGAAAATCAAAGAAATATTGTTTTTAAATTATTTATTGTTCAATGCAAATGAAATATAATTTTTTGTCATTGATTGCACTCAATTTGTAGTGAAAAGATTATTTGTGTTAAAGAAATCCAGTCATTGTATGTAAACACTGGGTGATATTGATAACATTCTCCTCATCCTAACATGAAGTTGATTGTCATGTAACAAATAAGTCTTCAAAGTTAACTCCGAGTCTATCAGACGATAATTAAATTATAACAAACAAAATACTCTTCAGAATACTTAACATCTATCTCACCTTAGTATTTAATTTCAAATAACTCATTTGTCATATAAATATATATATTCTGAATAAAATTTTCTATAATTAATGAAGAAACAGAAGTATATAGATAGCCTTATACATACTTGGGGCACTTCTTACATAACAAACAAGCCTTTATACATTACAATCCATCCCAATTATAATAAAATTTCATTTATAATGGTATATATTTAATTATTTCTCTTTCTTTATCTTGTCATTATTTTCAAAGTCACCCCTCTGTACATGACTACTGGTAATTGTTCAAGTTTGTCCTACCACCTCTAGTAAAACGATTAGATTATAATTATCTAGATATTTATATGAAAAATAATGATAATAATATACTACTGGAAGTTCTATATAAATTTTAGTAGCATGGGAAATAGTTTACATGTACAGTAGAACAAATATATATGTTACAAGTCCCCATATCAAATATATTATAATATATTTTGGTAATAAACATAACCTATGTAAAGTAATCAGCTATTAAGTCTCCATTTGTACATTTGAATGCTGAATGGACGAGTTTGTTGGTGTGTAAGTAAATATATCTTATTAGTTATTACATAACATATATATAAACTAAACACATAAAACATATGTGTGGACATTACACAGACAAATGGACATGTAGAGTTTTATATTTAAAAAAAAATCAAATAAACATACAATTCTTGTTAACATAAGTTAATAATTTAGTTAAAATAAATAAACAGCATTTTGTTGCTAAAATCTGTTGAGATTCCAATAATAATAATTTTGATTGTAACCCACATAAAAGACACATTGTTACTAATCAATACATGTTTATATATAATATATAAGGAAATATATTTAGGCCGAGGTGAAGAAATAACCAACTGTACATTAAGAACACACATCACTCACTATTGGCTGTCATAATAATATAAAACAATTTAAACTTATACAACCTGCACCTCGGTGGACACACAAATATGTAACATGAAAGAGTAAAACGAGAGAGAGAGAGAGTACTTAATATAATCGAAATATAATAACATTAATAGAAAGTATTATATGTATTATAATTTTTTTATCATCCATTAATAATAATAATTATAATCTTATCAAATAAATATATTCTTTATTTTAACTACATATTATGTATGTATGATGAAAAAATAACAATTTCTTGTTTCTCAATCAAATAGATCTATATTATTCTCAGTATTTTCAGGTTTCAAAAATAAAATCAACTCAATAACATTTTTATAATAAACAAAAGTAAATAATATGTTCTTTCAATAAAGATAGTAATGTTACAGCTTAATAGTTTTAATTTGAAAGACGTTCAGAACAACCGCAACAAGAATATTATATAAATAACAACCAAAGCTTAAAGATCCATTTTTCCATTTACATAGGTATTTGAACAACAAATGAATAAATAAAATTTGTATAACTATTCGATGTCATAGAGCATCGTGCATTAGTTTTGGTTTCATTTTACACAGATGACGATAAGACATATAATTACTGAATTAATATTATATATTTAGTATCAGATCTCACGATCATCTTGACATTACAATATTTATTGTAATTTTATAAGTAGCTGTTACTTTAAACTACGTAAAATAACTAAAATGCAATCTTTGTTTTGTATTATAAATGTTTAACCGCGTTTATTAATTAATAACCGTGTTTATTAATTAATAACCGCGAGACTAGAAAATAAAAACGTTGACTCGTTTTTAGCTGAAACGTCGCATCAACAGTTGGGAACACAGAAAACGACTCGCCCTTCTGTCACTAATACTAGTTAAATCTTTTAATATAAATATTCGAGTTTTCATAGTGAAGTTTTAAGTATTTGTTTCATTCTCTTAAAACTATACGAGACCAAAAAAATCAACATATAACAGGGACTGTTTGTGCTGTCAGCGCCATATTTGTTTTGATGACTACTAGCGCCGCAGTGACAACAAACTGTATTAAGTTTGTATCGTAATATCCTCTATTTTACCGCCAACACGTTTCCGTCGAGTATCTTATTCAACATTTTCATACCTTTATTATTGCAATAGAGTAATTTTAGCTTGTATTTTCTTCCCCGCCTCACAACCTTACAATCACGACCTAACTAACTCTGTTCGCTTAATGAGACGGCATATTGTATAACCTATCTAATCTATCTACGATCACACTTTATATCTAAACTAGTGTAGGTCATTTTTTCATCACATGTTCCTTTTGAACAACAGCACAATAACTTTATACTTTATATATATGGAGACGAGAGGACAGTCGGGTGTATATTTAAAGTATATTATAATAAGTTAACGAAGTCAGTCGATTCGATATCAATTATTGTCTCAAATTAAATGTCCGCTGAACGTTCGTCACTGACTTACTTGTATGATTCTTTTGTGGATCGATAACTGGAGTTAACACTCACTCTGTAGCCATCGATGTTGAATGAAAAATATATAAATTACATATGAGACAATAAAAATTAATTAAGAATACAACTCTGCTCACTGGTGACAATTAAATGTGAATACTCAATACTGCCTCGACATTAACATAATACATGTTACTTCTGAATAGAACGTGACTAGAAGCCAAACAGTATACGGGAGTGTGATTCACAAATCTGTGAGGGCTTGGAAGGTCTTCCTGTTGCTGGTTATGAACGATTTGATCCCGGAGTCAGCGCTGACCTCGGCCATGCCCATGTAGGAGGTCTCTCTCAGTAGGCTCGCGAGGTTGTGGTACCGTCCGGAGTTCTTGAGCTTGTCGAGGTCCACCCTGACGGTGGGTTTCTTGTGTTTGACGGTCTTAGTGTGCCAGACCAGTATCTTGGTGCAGTTCTCAGCGAGAGGTTGTATGTCTGTTAGCTCCACGGACAAGCTGCGGAGGAAGCCGTCCTCCTCGTGGCCGGCCACGAAGGGCATGGTGGCTCCCTCACGCAGCATCGCCATGTTGACCGCGAAGCCCGCCATGTCGACGGGGAAGGACCGCGCGCCCGGCCAGGAGTCGTAGAAACCCACCACCTATATTGTTATCAATTAATATATAAGGTTTAACTTATTTAATTTTAATTACTATGGCAAAATAAAATATGTAAAATTGTATGAATAATATTTGAAACGATATTTTAAATAACCATTCAATAGTAATGTAAAATCATATAAATAAAATATTTTAATTTCAACATTAAACTTCAAAGATGATACTTTTGTCTCCACTATCTCAATTATTTTATGGATAAATTTTAATATTACTAAGTTACACTTTGACTATATCTCCTCAAACTTTTGGTGCATCTATCGCATGTCGCATTACAGATAACTAAAGTATAGGATTTCGCCTCAGCTCACATCAACCGATCGTGTATGATTTATATTCTCAATAACATAATTTGCGGCGATTTAATAAAAGACAAATTACTTTTTTTCTTACTAATAATATGTTCATTCGAGCCATTAATAATATATACATATTTATGAGTCGGTAATGTCTTTTTTTAATTAAAATCGTATTTGAACAACAAAAAGCGTTATGTTTATTTAAGATCATCCGCAGTCAACACCATATAGGTACGTCACACACATACCGAGATTCAACATGTTGTAATACAGAAACACAAACAGACAGAAATTTCTAAATCGCAAGTTATTTTTGTACACAAATATGTATATACTAGCTTTCCGCCCGCAGCTTCGCCCGCGTTAAGTTCGGTTATATCGCGTTTCCAAGAGAACCTTTAAAAAGTCTGGAATTAAAACTATCCCACGTTCTTTCTCAAGGTCAACTCCATCTCTGTACCAAATTTCATTAAAATCAGTTCAGTCGTTTAGGCGTGAAAGCGTATTTTCCATTGTTAACGCCCCGCTACCCCCCTTTTGGATGGAATTTCGTAAAATCCGTTCTTAGCTGACCTCATAATGCTACCAAATTTCAAGTCGCTAAGCCTTATGGTTCTACAGATATCGTGATGAGTCAATATATAGGTGGAAATCTCTTTTATATATACAGGGTGACTCACACATACGCGTGCGGCGGCGTGGTGTTGTATCAGCACGCCGCCGCACGCGTCCACACTTGGAACACTTGGAACGTGTCAACACTTTATTTATTTATACGGAAATTTTGTCAAAAATTAAGTGCCAATTTTTTTTACATAATTCGAATGAGAATCATGTACCGAGTATTCTCCTTAAATATTGATAGTAATTCACCAGTCACCCTGTATATATGAAGACCTAGCCTAACTTTTAATAAATAATTTAAGTATCATAATGCATACTTTATCATGATTTCTATATCTTATTTATCATGTAACAGTGACATGTGTCGTCGAGGGTATATCCTCCATCATGATAACATGATAAACTCATGATAACCTGTTGTTATACATAATACATATTATATAAAGCCAGTTAATGTGACAGTTTGTGATATGAAATACATTTAACAAAGATTATTGTCTCCGTCATATAGAAAGGATATACTAACATGGTGCATTCAACTATTAAAGAATAGTTATTTTAAATACACATTTAAATTGCGGCACAATTATTAGAATATGTTGAGCATTCACAAGTTTCAAACATATAGTAATCTTGTGAAGAATTCACAAGTTATAAAATAAACTATTTAAAACCTTTTAATATTTTACGACCGTCATAAAACACTACATGTTTTACTTAACATATGAACATTATTATATATTATATATACTGAGACATATAAATTAAATTATATTGAAATTAAAAAATCTAAAATGTATTCCAATGTTAAAAGCCTAAATGGTAATGATTTTGAAATTTGTTGTATGAGAACGCTTGGTCTTTAGCACAATATATAAAAAAAAAGTGTTTGTTACACTATTTATAACTCAAGAATGGCTTAAGAGTGGCAAACAGGTTTGTATGAAAATTGGTAGAGAGATAGCTTAGAACAAACAAAGGACATAGGATACTTTTCATCCAATTTAAAAAGAAAAATAAAAAATCTTCCTATCTACTGTCTTTAATGAGTAATATATGTAGTTCGCCCGGTCAGATACACATTTCTTATTCTGCAAGTCGCGTGCAAACACTAGTATCATACGGCTCACCTTTCCGTCCTTGACAACAGGCGAGGACACACCGTAGTCCCCAATGAGCCCCACAGGGAACATGGACACTTTCTCCGTGCTCCTGATCTCATCGAACAGTCTCAGGTCCACCGTGTTGTCGTCGTCTCCGAAGTACAGCACCCCTTCAGACACGTTCTCGTGGAGCCAGTCGAGGGCAGCCCGCCGGTTGGACACCCCGCGGGGGAAGTTGCTGCTCTTGTAGATGAACGGCTTGGGACTCGATATGTGAGTGAACGGCAGTCCGGTGCGTCTGGAATAGTCATTGAATGGTTGTAAGGAATTTGTCATTGAACATCTTTCACACACATCCACAAGATATATAACGTTTTGATTCTTATTAAAACATTATCATCTATTTATCACAAAACAGAAATAATTCGCATGGATCAAATAAATCAGCAGCAAATTCTTACATTAAAAATAAACAGTATATTTGCATTCCATTAATCATTTCACATTATAAAAGAACAATGTTTGTATGAAGCAATCACACATACTTAAGTATATCTTCGACCAGTTCAGAGCAGACAGGCTGATCATCGGCTACGATCCAATGCAGGCGAGGGACGTGCATGAGTGTGTGAGCGAGGCGGGTCAACTCTGGCACTTGTTCAGGCCGAGGGTACGTAGGTGTGACGTAGTAGATCATGCGGCCGCTCGAAGGCAAGTGGGACCGCTCGTCAGTCATCTTCACCGAGCACAGCTTGTTTCTCACAGCCACAGGAATGCTGCGAGGATCATTGGCATGTAAACTGGAAGTTGTCAAAGCACGGGTTCAAAACATTACATTGTAAGGCTTATAATTACATCATATAATAATCTGCAGCCAATATGTTTTCTTTCTTATACCCGCAATACTCTCTGTAAGAAAATTTCTTTAGTTAACATCACTGGTTTACAAAACCTGGTGGTGCTTTATGGTTCTTTAGGTTAAAACATTTTTGAGAGAAAATTTAGTGAAATAAATTTAATGAAACAAATTATGATAATTTTATGAAAACTGTGTTAAAGGTTAGTAGGTAGACAAATCATATTTTTGCTCTACCTATACATACTGTCTTAATATTATTGTTTTAACAATTTTACCTCAAAATATTGAAGAACACTTTCATTTTAAGATCAAAATCTTTACATACTGTTAAGATACTGATCCCTTCAAAGGCTCGTTTCTTTATAGTATTGTCTACATGATAGAAATCTCATATAACAAAATATGTATTATGAATCTAATACAATTAAAAGTTCTAAGACATAGATGAGGAATGACTTGAGCATTTGTAATCTGTTTGTATTTTATTTGAAAACAACATTTTATGGTCAAGAGTAGACTGCAATTATCATACTACTAAAATGTGCGCTAAGTACCATATATAATGAGGAGTATAAATTAGAATGATTTATTTAGCCCGGAATTACATTAGAACAGGGCAAAATAAAATTATAATGTTACCTTCAACAATTAAAATATTCAATTCATATATTCCACAGTTCACCTCAGTAATAAGGTACTAACCAGAAAAATAAATAGAAGAGTTTCATTTAAATCAAAAACCTCTTTACTGCAAATAAACTCATGATACGATAAAATAATAATAAGAGTAATAAAAAAAAAATGCGTCATAAAAAGACCGAGTAATTTAATAGTCTCATTATATTCATAATTACATGTAATAATGAGACATCTCGTATTTTCAAATAATAATTCTATGAAGTCATTTTTATAAAAAAAATAATATACGTTACCTTAATATCCCCACATTTCCCCAAGAAAATAATAACCACAAAACAGTAACGAAGACGACCATCGCGAAAATATTCTTAAACAGCTTAAAATGTTTCATATTTTTTTAAATACATTTTCAGTCAAACCGTTCGCAACAACCCCACTTGACGTATGTCAATCGGTCGAATGTCTACTATATCAAGATCGAATAGAATCACGTGTCAAAAACTGAAATCTATCTAAACACCACAGATAATAAAATCAACTATGTAGCAGATTAAAAAATATCTGAGAATAACCGTAAATAGCAATAATTACAAATAATCTATCATATTACATACACTAAATAAAAATAGATGAATAAATTGATCTCCATATCTTTCAGTCCTAAATCTCTTGGGGAATTATTGTACAACACATTTTTATTGGATTTTTTATACTCAGTAAACAAAATAAACAATTATATGACGTGATGACCCATTTTCATCCCTTAATACACAGAGTTATGTTAACATCAATAAGACTCAAAGAGTTTTAACTTCTTTTATTAGTAATTGATAAATTTGTAATCAATTAAAGAAGAATTAAAAAGATAATACTTTCATTCAGGCCTTACTTGTAAAAAGTCAACAACATAGTGTTAAAAATAGATTTTAATTTCGATTTAAAAAAGAATAATTGTAACTTATTGAGGTTTTATACATAAAATATGGTCCTTCTTGTTTTTTGACGTGAATATTTGAATAAAATCTTTTTATTTCATATTGTTTATTTATTAAAACTTTCTTTTTATTCGGTGTCTGTAAATATTATCAGTAAGGAAACAAAAATATTTTATAAGAGTATAACACTTTTAAACATATATGTACCGATAACATAGGTACTTCCGAGACGAATTGTACCATTATTTTTAGTTTTAAGAATATTCAGCTGTTACTTATAAACTATGTTAAGATTCTTTTATTTTATGATTTTATGAACAGTAAATAAAAATAAAAAATGTTCAATTTACAATAAATTATTTAAAAGAAAGTAAGGAAAAATCAATACTCTGTAGACATGCGTATTGCAATCCAGTGATATTCGGTAAAACGGTATCATCAACCATATTGGTTATGTTAAATTAAATATCTTACATTTAACGTCGCCAAAAGGTTAATATCGTAATATTTATAGATTAACTTCTAATCTCTGTATTAATTTGTTTCTTTTTATATTATGTTGGCCGTATTGAATCGATTGTCAACAACTTCAGAGTGGAGGTGCGATAGTGATTGCGCGTAGTGTTATTGTTTTGTGGAAAAAATTGTGAAACCTAACTAAATTCTATTTAATTTCCTTAATATTTATTTACGGTTCTATTTCTTGTTCTTGTATATTTGTTTTCTATGTGGAATATGTCATTCATCACTGCGGTAAGTAACTAAATTATGCTACATTAACATCAGCACAGGGCGGTACTATCGTGTGAAAATTGATAGCATTTCTCTTTTAAATAAGCCTTTCATCACTGAAATTCATCATTATCCTTTTAATCGTGTTATAATAGAAGATTGTTTAGTAATGTTAAGCGATGTATTCTTTTCGTTGAGTATTTCAATGGTGTCGGATATGCATCCTCCATATTTTACTGCTACGTACATGGTACCAACTACAAAATATTAGTATCTATATCAAATACTTTTTTGATAAAATTCGTTTATTATGTTTAGTTATCAAAGAAAATAAGCGACTTGAGACAATTTCTGATGATTTTGATATAATATTTGTTATAGTCTTAAGACAAATGTGTCGCGCTCAGACACGTCCATGTTAGCTGAGATTCACGTTCAGTAGGTACATACAAGGGTCTTTGTAAAGTACAAGGATTCGTTAATAAATAAGTAATTGTTAAACTATCGATGATCGCAATTATATAACTAATTATATATTGAACACATTTCATTTCTTTTGTTCTATAATCATTAAATTTTTTTCGTAAAACTGGTGACTACCATTTCAAATTTCAATATGTAGAATAAAATAAAATAAAATATTTTTTATTATTAATCCTTAATTGTTTTAATAATGATCTTATAATAATAGAAATAAAGATGATATTTGAATGAGACACAATCTCTTACTGAATTATCTTAAACTCCAGTATTTGTTGCTATTAGTCCCTGTATTTTCTTTATTTTATCGAAAAAGAGGAAATTAATTACATAAAAACTTAATATCCTAATCATTAATTAGTGTTATGTAATATATAACTCATTTATATTATGGCAATCCACAAAAAAGAAAACAAAACTCAAGAACAGTATTTGGGTCAATAACTGTATTGGAGATAAAAATGTTACTTGATTGTTTGGAACATAAAGGTAAATTAAATTACTGTTCCAAAAACTCGGAGTATCAATATGATTGACACGGCACTTTACACAGAGACACTTTCCTTTCATTATATAAATCAATCTCCTCGTGATATGAAGTATGGTTGTCGTAGTACTTACCTTGGTTTATACATCATACAAGGTCCATGTAAGACCTGAATTATTTATGATATTATATACACTTCAGCTATATATCTATATCTCTCGTCATTGCTATGACTTTAATGATAAGAGTATATGTTTCAATCTCAGTACCTGACACACTTTCAAGATGTGAGAAGAACCTCACTTGGAGATTTCATCTGAAGGCTACTAATCTACTATACAGGCAGTTTTAAAAAGCTTTCCACCACTTGAAGCTTATATACTGGCATAAGTCATATTTGTCTTCGAGCGATGGTGACTACTTATTGATCTGCCTCTAAGTAATGCAACATAAGAAAACACATTTTCATATGTATTTCTTGTAAAAAGCACAAATGAGATCATTTTTCCTGCCATCATACATCATTACCAAAATTTTCTTTGTTCTTAGTTCCTAGTAATAATTCTGGTTCAGACAGTCTTCTCTAGTCTTCTTCTTCTTCTACCTGGCAATTTCCCGGCTATAGCCAGGGTCTGCCTTACATACTGCGAATAGTTTTGGCTCATTTTTTTTACGACCGGCCTGCCTGACATCAACCCTCTTTTGGGAATCAGCATTAATCAGTGATGTCTAAATATATTCTTAGAAAGTACATATGACTCGAAAAAATCACATTGGTACTTGCCCGGGCCAGGATCGAACCCGCGCCCTCTGCGATGAGAGGTGGGCCTTTAACCATTAAGCTACCACTGACTAGACAGTCTTCTTTAGTAGTGCTTGCAAATATCGAACATCTGTTTCTAGCTAGTCTGTATCTAGTTTCGAAGTTTCACGCTTTGTGTTATTATAAAGCAGTTTACTATTGTACTAAACAATGGTTTTACTTAGCATGTCGGGTAAGAGAAAAAAAAAACATTGGGAAAAGGAAATTGCAGGAATGGGTTTGAAAAGGAAAAGGGTAATCGGTGCTTTCACTCGTTGGCTGAAATGCAGCTAACGTATTTGAACTACTTCATGCTGATCTTCTGTGAAAGGGTGGTACTTTCCTGGTCCAGCCAAACTCATGTTAGACCTGAATTAAATTGACCGTTGAAAGGCAAACTATCTCCAAAGAAACATTTTTCCTCTATTTTCATATTTTTTTGTCTCCACCCCTATTGGTCGAAATAAAATGATCTCCTTCTCTTTTTTCGTAGCAATCTACCAATTAATTTAATTAACATGTTGTTAGCCACAAGACATTCAACATCATTATATGATTTCTTGATCTGTGCAGTTTGTAAATACTTTAATAATAATAATTATATCATGATCCAGTTAAAGTATTTCTTTCACAATGAACAATGGAAGACAATTAGACTGATCAAGGAATTACACTACAGATGTGAAACTTATTTATTATTCTTATTAAGGACGCTTTTAATTTATGAGAGACTTTTTCTTTCATATTATTTTGATATTTTTGAGTAATTTGGTTAATAACAAATGTATACCCTTGGGAGCAAGGCCTTGGATCTGTCCTGTTCTGAAATTTTATACATAGTTCAAGGTTTTATCAAAAAATGTCTTTCGTTGAAGAATGAAACAATGAAAAGAGACAATAATTTACCAAAATTAATTTGAATGTTTTCATAATTTTTTTTAATTCAGTGTTTAATTGCAAAACTTTTTAAATATTTTTGAAAAAAATTTTTTTATTATGTTGGAAGTATATTCAAGTTTAAAGTCTCGTAGTCTCTTCTGATCTGCAATGTTTTTGGAGATAATTTTTAGTCTTCGGTGTCTCGCGCAAATTTTTTGGATAATTTTTGTGTTGTGTCTACACCTAGTTTTTGAACTTTATTGAAGTGGAAAGCTTATACAAATTGAGAGACTTATAGAAAGTTTTTTGTAACTGTCAAATATATTTAGGTACCATTATCATATCATTTCGGAACATTCTGTATGTCTTTATACAGAAAACATTAGAAGATCTAGAAAAATAATAATAATAATTGATCAATAGTATTTAGCGAGTGGTAAATTGAAACTCTTCGTCAGCGTAATATGATACAGAGAGGTAGTAATGTGTTTATGCAGTTTTAATTGGAATGTATAAAGAAATACTCTGATTTCGTCAAAGTGATATTACTTATCACAAAAAAGTCAGTGGTGGCCTAGTGGTAAAAGGGCCCGCCTCTCGTTGTCGAGGGCGCGGGTTCGATCCTGGCAAGTACCAATGTGGTTTTTTCGAGTCATATGTGCTTTCTAAGAGTATTTAGACACCACTGACAGACGGTAAAGGAAAACATCGTGAGGAAACCTGGACTTATAATTTCACAATTATAAGTTTGAAATCACCAACCTGTTTTGATCAAGCGTGGTGATTAATATTCGAACCTTCTCCTTGTGAGAAAGAGGTTTTTGCTCAGCAGTGGGCTCTGATAGGCTGATGACGATGTTACTTATCATAATTCAAAATTTTTGGCTGCTCAGATATGATGATTAGTAGACGTTAGCCGCAACCGTTTTGTAAAAAGACGTGGTGCAAGTTAAAACTTAAATAGATAAATTTATAAATGTTTCTATAACAACATTCATATTTTTCAGTAAATATTCCCATTTATAGTCCAAATATTATAT